ATGGGGACCCCCAATAGGATTTTGCTAGCCTTGAAAATCCCCATTCCTTGATTTAAGAAGTTAGATTCCCCTTCAAGGCATTTTGCTGTGTTCCCCATATTTTCTACCGAACTCCCAAAAGGGACTGCTTCCATTTTGACACATCCTTCTAATTGTCTTGCAATACAATCAGTTTATAAGTGAGGCTGAAATATAGCGGCGTTTCTAATATCAATCAAGCCTGAAGGCGAACTCATACAGTATGTCCAAGCAACACCCAATTATTCTTGTTCTCAAAAGATCCAGGGAAACCCATCTAGGGATACTGTTGAAAAGTTGAATTGCAGGTAACTAATGCCTGTTTCTTCTTGGCCTCCATTCATAGTAACCATACATGGAAGTAGCAGCACCATATGAAGATGTACTTATACATAAGCCATAAGGAAGGGAATTGGCTAGTCCAGAAATAAGATTTCAGGAAACCAGAATTAGAAGCACACCAAGTTTCATACCTTGCAGATATTTTGCACTTTTCTTAATGTAATTTTAATGCTGGGGCTTTAACATTTGTTGTATTTTGGATTGATATAGACAGGTTTCTTTGAATCTGCATGAAATGGGTAAGCTAATTAAGCGGTCAGAAATCCTAGCAGGAGCTGTTGGGTTTTTGCAAAGGTGTGTCCCTTATTCTCCCATAAGATCCATTGTGTCAGAAGGGATTTAGTTTAAATGTCCACGGGATTTTAAAGGGATTTTGCTAGTGTGCAGTACACTTCCTTGATCCAGTAATAACTTATGATGCGGTTGCAGTAACACAGGAAGGATGAGGTAGCTTTTCACTTAGGTCAGCAGAATATATAATGTTAACTCAGAGCAATTTGCTCTTGAATTAGGTTACTGTGACATGACAAACGTTTGTTTTTTAAAAACTTTTGCCTTTCATCTGAAGGCTAAAACATTAAAAAGAATGATTGCTGGAATCGGGTATGTCTAACTTAATGAAAAGGACTAGGAGCAGTGGTGGGTTTCAAAAATTGTTCGAATCTACTCTGTGGGTGTGGCCTCCTTTGTGGGAGTGGCTTGCCGTCCATGTGACTGGATGGGAGTGGCTTGCTGCCCATGTGACCGGATATGAAGATGCCGACGACACTTGTCAGAACCATCTTAAATTACCACACACACAGCACTGGCATGCATAAGAATATGATGTAAACTGGTTTTTTAAAAGGCATCT